CGTCGATCTTTCGAAGAAAAAAGAATTAAAACTAATTAATTAACTAACTAAAAAAAAAAAAAAAAAAAAAAAAAAGAAAGGTGAGAAAAACAGAAGCCAGGCTGAGACAGAGAACGAGTGTAAAAAACTTATTACCAACACTGCCGATTACACGAAGGAAGTTGCGAGGGCCGTAGTCATTAATGAATCCCGCATTCGACCAAACATAACGTGCGAGTAATTCTCCTTGTAACGAGATTAACGTTCGCGCGCTATGTTTAAACGAGAGCGATAAAGAAGGGGGGAGGGGGGAGAAAGAGACAGAGAAAGATCGATAGAATGGGATTAGAAAAGAAAAAGAAAAAAAAGAAAAAAAAGAAAAAAAAAAGGAGGAAAGATATAAGGGTTTTCTACAAAGCTTAATACGTCTATTACTGGACAATAATTGAGATGAGGCGATCGAGGATTCGATTTAAAATGTGTTAAACGGGTGGGGGGGATGAAGAAGAAAGAAGGTAAAGAGGAAGAAGAAGAAGAAAAAGAAGAAAAAGGGGAAGAAGAAGTGTTCGAGACTTGTGATTGCTCGAAATTCCTAACGAGTTATATTTGTACATTTACTTTAACGAAGAAACCTTAATATATTTCACTCGATCGGTGGACTAATAGCGCATGCGACTGAAGTATACCAGTTTTAAGAGTCTTACGCTTAAAAAAAAGAGAAAAAAAAAAAGTATAGCAAATGCTTTCGTTCTCGGACCAGCCTACGAATTGTATTATTCCTTGATACGACGCTTTGCCCCGCGTCTAATGTCCGAGGCAGTGCGTTCCGTTTATTGGGTAAAGAATGGAAAAATAAAAAAAAGAGGGGGGAAGGGGAAAAATGGAAGAAGCATTTGTTTCGTCGACTCAACTCACTACCTAAATAACTGTAAACTGCGTAATAAATATAATTATTATTGTTCCTTCTCGATATTCGAGTCTTGTTTCGCTGTTTTCTTCCCTTCATTCTCCTGAACTAATGG